TCACTTCTTATTATAAAGTGTGTGTGTGTGTGCGTGTGCGTGTGTGTGTCAGTGTGTGTGTGTAAGACAGAGAGAGTGTGTGTGTCTATGGAGGATACTGTTTATTTATGGATTTTTATATATTTTTACAAATCTATAGCATCAACACATTGTTAGGGCTGAAGATATTGAACAATAATAGAATTTAGACCAGCAAAACTAATATTATGCTGCTCTAAAGTTAGCTAAGTGAAGTTACTTGGAAGGTCTTGTCAAAAATGTATTTATATCAAAGGGAACAATTTTAATAATAAACATGAATATTACCTTTTTGAGGTATTTTAACAGTTAAGAAGACTAATCCATATCTCATCAAGAATATTTGAATACGAATATCTTTACAACACTGTATTCACTTTTTCATGCAATCTTCATTAGCAGCCACAGTGGAAGATAACTTTATATTTATTTTCACTTTCAGTGTTTTTTGCTTATTTGGTGATCTGTGGAAATGGGAATACAGAGAGAAGCATGAATGAGTTAAGTATAAACCAAAGAGACATGCACAGGATAAAACAACTTTTTCAATAATCAAGCTATTTCATTTTAATATTTCTTCTACTGTGAAGAAAAAAAAATCACTGTTCAAAACACAATGACTAAATCTACCCCAAGGCTATTCAAAGTTGGATAGTAACAAATTATATTATTTTGAGTTTCTAAAATGATCTAAGCCTTTAAACACTAAGAAAAAGCGCTCTGCTGCCGCCTGATTCTCATCAAGATCCATCAAGCATGAAAAGCTCTTTTTCATAGCCTTCCTTCCCTCCAGGCTGGCACAGGAAAACAAGTCTAATTTATCTAGTAAGCATATTTTAATTCATAATTTGTATTAATGTGACACATCCTAATATATCTTTTTTCCAGAAATTATTCTGATGGGGACAGTGTGGGGAACAAAAACTTTTTTGTTGGATTCTGCCATTAATTTGGGAAAGAGTGAAAAAAGTTGAAACCAATTTGCATAGAATACAAAAAAATCCCCCAAAGCATAAAAATCAGCTCGAGAACGAACCATTAGAGTGCATCACGCAGTTTTTAGAAAGTCTCCACCATAAGCAAATATGGAAATATTCTACTCTATTCAAATGAGAGCCAGTGCAGTTTCATCTTATTAATAAGGCGGCATGGCCCCTTGTGTGCATGTGAATATAGAACCGGAGTGTAAAGCTGATCCCCGAAGTCATTTTGCAATTTGTGTAGTTATCCATGAGCCATGTGGCTTAATGCTTGATATTTTAAAATCTAGCAAAGTTTACGACCTGTAAACAGCACTGCTTAGAGCGTTTTCTTTTCCCTCTCTCAACGAGTGGGAGCTGCTGCCATGTTGCATCGCACAGCCTCAGTGGGAAATGTGTTTTTCACGCCTGTTTTCCTCTCTCCTACATTTCCCCTCACAGACACTGACCAACAATCCACAAAGAGCTTCATTCCTGCTTTTTAAATGAGACAGATTGAGCTGCTGTTAAAAAAAAGTGTCCAAGCATCTAAATAGCTGAGTAATGAGGCTCCCATTTGACCAGGCCACAACATCAGTCTAAATCCTATCGATGGGACCAAAACAAATTGTAAAGCCGAAAGGTAGTTGTTATCACGCTGGTTCTCTCTCTCTCTTGCTGGACCACTCTTCTTCTTCTAGCGCCATCTCTCGCCCTTCATCTCCCTCTCCACTCTTTCATGACCGGCTAATGAATGTAGATAGTGCTTTGGGGGATGCAGTGGTCTTATTACAGGGGTTATGTGTGCACGCTGTAAGCTCAGCATGCTCCAGTCAGGCAATGGTGAAAGGTTCAATTGCTTTGGCAAAGCCCCCACTTCAGTAAACAGAAGGGCTAAAGAGGTTTGTTTATTGGGCGCACCTTGGCTTGACCTCTGTAGCTCAGGGACAGGCTACGTGATTACAGAAGTGTCAGCGCAGCCTGGGCAGAACAGGCCAGACTACTTTCATTGGCCCTCTCTCTCTCCTAATAAATCACAGGAATAAGCACACAAACCACATGAGTGGGACAAATGCAAAAACAATGAGAGTTCAATGTAAGCCTGATGATTTAATGGTTTATCCACCATGTTTGCGCTCAAACTACTTGGATTTGGTGTTCTACTGTCAGTCTACAGAGATATATACAGAACATATTGATTGGAATGATTAGTTTATTACACGAGTAGGCGAAAAGGCAAGCTCTCCTGATGCTCACTCCAAAACAGAAACAATATGAAACATGGCTAAAGTATGTGGACATTTTGACCACAGCAAAGGCAAAGAAGTAATTTCCTGAAGGAATTAAGTTGTTAAGTGTCACCTAGTTTTTCTAATTATAATAAATATTTGACAAAGTCAGCTGTTAGGATTCAGTTATAGGGTTGAAATGATTTAGATAATTATTATCATTACAGATCACCTAAAACACATCCAATTCTGCTGCTGTGCTCCAGCTTTCACCCTTTGCTTGCTCGGGTAAGTTCTCCACACTCTGGACTCTGTTCAGTTCATCCCCCAAACGCTCTGCACAGCCAGAGCAGTGAAAATAATAATTTGTTATTTTAACTCACTATACCTTCCTACATATTTAATTCATCAGTCACATATCATTAGTTCTGACTCATATTATAACAGCCTTCACATCAAAATGTGTGTAAACAGGCCTGCTGAGTGCAGCATTTTACATTGATTCTATTGGGGTGAAAATGACTGATGTAGTTTCCCCATACACCTCAAAATTAACTATACGGCAAATAAATCCATTTTAGGAAAAATCATGAAATGAGAGGTGATCGGGTTATATACACTATGTATTTATGTTATTATGTGTAGCTTGTGGTTTCAGTTTATCTGAAAGATGTTGGGTGAGGTAAGCCTGTGCAGACCAGTCAAAGTCAGAGCACCTTTCCTTTATGGGCCTTTGTGCATGGTCATGATTAACCAGGAAAAGCCCTGTCCCGCACTGCTGTCACAGAGCTAAAAGCACATTATCGTACATCACAATGTGTAAATAATTCTTTATGAGTACCGGGGGTCTTTGTTCAAACAATGAAAAATGTGAAACGCCAAAGCACACAGAAGAGTATGGAAAGGTATGTAGCGTTTGTCCATATATTGTATTTTATCTTTTATGCTCCATATTTTGGAATGTTCCATATTTTATTTCATATTTCTTGAGGAAAAGCTGGTGAGACTGCTTTCCACTCTTGCACATCATGTATTTCACATTGTATTTGTTTTGAATGTTGTGTGTTCACAGTTGAAAAATTATATTTTTATTATGTTTAGTTGTTTTATTTTATTATGTCTGATTGTTCAGTTGATGTTGGTGCAGTTATATACAATGCACTTAAAATATAAAGTAAAAATTATTTAAGACGCAATACAATATCACTGGTTGTGTAATGGAAATGTGTTTTATAGAACACTTAATCTATTATAGTGAAATAAGTAAATGTGAATAATGCTGGTTTAGGACACAGGAACACAAAGTTAGATGTGGTGGAGCTCTCCATACTGATTTAAAAAGTTGAATGATTACATTTTACTAAAACATATACCTTAAGTTAACAAGAAAACATTCAATAGCTGTGCACCTATGAATGATGAATCAAATTATTAATCTAGCAATAGCAAAGTCAAAAAACAGGTTGACATACAGTTATATTTGCCATATTTATCAGCCTCTGTTTTTGATTTGATTTGATTTGAACATACACAGACAAGGTATGTAGTGCAATCCATTTGTGACATATAATATGTACAGTCTCCTTGTGTAGTCCATCCTGTTTTGGCTCTATCAAAGTCTTTTGCTGGTTATATGTTTTCAGCTAACATGGAGCTGTTTCCCTCAAGCCACTGTGTGCTGTTTGTCCTCCAGTGGAATAAGGCTCATTATCTCAATGTGTAGTCACAGTTTCTACCGTTACGCCCAGGGATCAGGCCATCTCTCCATTAAGGAAAATCGCTTTGAAAGGTCTTGTCCTCTGCTTCAAACACACACACACACACTGAGACGCATGCATGCACTTAGTGTACTGGTATTACTTTTTTCCATTTGATGCTTGACTTACAAGACTGCTAAACTGTTGAATTTTAATGTGCACAAAACACAACCTTAAAGTACATCTTTGCCTTGCTGTTTAGAAGGCAAGAAAGTTGAACAAATCATATCAATTTATTTTTAAAAAGTCATTGAGATGAAATGTGACCACAACATGTGACTGAGCTATAAGGAATTGGGTCTGACATGCTGTGACTGGGGTACCAATTTGGTCAGAATGGATCCACTGAAAGCACTCAACTGTAATCCTTCCACATCAGAAAACACATCAGGTGTTATATTTTTGGGGGGAAATGTTAGCCCATCATAGCAAGTAAAATAGAAACTTAAAGCGATGATTTACAGCTCAGAATAAAAATTTAATAACACAATATGCATGCATAATTCCTAACAGGTACTGGTATAAATCCCTGGGAAGTAAATTACAAAGAAGTGTATGCAGGGAAATTTATTGGCTTCTCTCAATAATCATTACAATCTACTTAACTAGACATTTCAAGGACAATGTGAGCACAGTGATAGCATGTGTTTGTTTTTGTTCTAACTGAGCATGAATTGCCTTTAAATATGTATTCTGCTGGTGTGTTTGTCACAGTCTGCTGCTCCTGGTTTTTGCTTTTCTGCCCATCTTGAAGTCAAACAAGCTCATTATTTTCAAAAAAATCATTTCACAAGATTTTGCTGGCTTTTAATGGGATAATACAGTGACTATATGCTTTCCTGAGTTTCTTCACTACAGAGGTTGATCAGACATAGTAACAGACTTTATTTGTTCTGGGCATCCTGCCCAGAACATCCTGCTGTGTGTGTGTTTCTGAGTTTCTGTATAGTATGAATGAACAATGATTTATGAAAGATAGCACTCTGTTCAGCCACCGGTCAATGGGAAACTAATGAATGGAAGGACATGCAGTGTACCTATGTGGCTCCTATGTGACGATGCACTGGTCAGCTGTCCCCAGAGAGACACCATACAGACGGTCAGCAGCAGCGCCCTTCCGTACATGCTCTGTAGGTCCCTCTCCTGCATTCTGGAAAAACAGGACAACAAAATCAGGAGTTAGCCATATTTGCATAATATGAACACCCAGATATACAGCCTGGCTCATTTCAGTTCAAGGACACAAATTCCCATAGCTATGACTTGGCAGTCACAGGTGGAATCTACTGAGTTTTAACTGGATTAACTCAAACTAAACCAACCCACACAAACAAAATCAATCTACCAGTATCTATTCATGTGTTTGAAAATGCAGAAAATTCAAAATTAAATTATTTCTCTTGAATTGAGTTGTGCTGATGAGCTTTGGATCAGTAGGAAATATACACACCTTGTCAAAGTTCAGTTATTTCTTGGTTTTTTGGAAATGCATGCTGTTTTCCCATTGGTTCCATGTAGTGGGACACAACAAGCACAACTGCTTTGTATTTATTTATTATTAAATAAATTCACACAGTTACATGAAAACAGGGAGATTGTTTTCACAGGACTGATTAATTAATATCATATCTATGAAAACAGAGGTTTTGGCAGTTTGCTAGTGTGGTGTTAACACAATTGTACGATATTGTGCAGACGTCCCAGCAAATGTATCCAAATGTCAAATGGTGCAATGCTCAGAGAAACTGAGAAAAACCCAACAGCTCCAAAAAGTTCATGACAGTACAATTTGAAACAGATTAAACAAGTAAATTTTGTTTTGAAGGGCTGCCAAGAGAAAGACCTCTAGAAGGAGATAGCACAGTTTAGGTTTACAAAGTTGCGCATGAACAAACCACAAGACTTGTAGATCAATGTTCTTTGGACTGATGAGAAGTGCCGATGTCTGACATCGTGGCATGTTTGGTGAAAACCAAACACAGCATATCAGCACAAACACCAAATACTAGCTGTCAAACACGGTGGTGGAGGGGTTTGGGTTTGCTTTGCAGCCACAGAACCCGGACACCTTGCAGTTACTGGGTAAACTGTGAACTCCTCCGTACTCCGTATTCTAGAGTCAAATGGGAGGTCATCTGTAAAACAGCTAAAGCCTAGCTGAAACTTGGTCATGCAACAGGACAATCACCATCAACATAAAAGCAAATCCACAAGAAAATGGATAAAAAAAAGAATCAATGGTCCAGTCAAAATCCAGATCTCACCCAAATGAATTCCTGTGCCTCTTGAGAGATCTATGCAAATTAATGCCCACAAATCTCAGTGACATAAAGCAGTTCTATAAAGAACAGTAAAAATTCCTCCATAGTACTGTGAGAGGCTGATCATTATAAAGAAAACAATTACTTAAATCTACTTCTACTTGGCTCTTAAATCATGGGGTTTATTTAATTTTTCACAGGACTGCAAAGAGTCCTGGACAAAGAAATTCACTGGTGCTGAGGTTTCCTCTCTGTAGTAGTCAGACAAGTAGTTTTCATTTTTGTTTGTAGTTTGGTTTGGTTTAGACAACAAAACTGCTTAGTCAGGTAAAGGAAAATAATTTGGACACAATCAGATGAATAGCTCTAAAATCTACAACATTTCCACAAAGCTTGTGCTGTCGTCACCACCACATTTCAACTTATTACATTACACTTGCACTGACATTTGAATGTGTGAAACCAGGATTATAGTATCAGTAACTGTATCAGCTAACTGCCAAACCACCGATTTGTGCACAATAACCTTAAAGCAGGCATCTCAAAGTCATTAGTGCTCATGCTACACTGCATGGAAACATGAAAAATGAAAACTACACTTTTCCCTTTATATGAAAAAATGTTCATATTCAATGAACCATCTATTTACATTTACGGTCCGATGGGCTTCCTGAGATGTTTTCAGAAGAGCAAGTACAATGTTAAAGTTTGTCTCATAACCAGACATGGGCAGTAACGCGTTACAAGTAATGCGTTACTGTAATCCGATTACTTTTTTCAAGTAACAAGTAAAGTAAGAGATTACTATTCCAAAAACGGTAATTAGATTACCATTACTTTCCCGTAGGAACGCTGCATTACTGCATTACTAAAACCGTGATTTATTTGTGAGAACGTCTCATGACAGTGATGTAAGCGAGTGCGACATTCGTGGCAACAGCTGTGTGCAGATCAAGAATGGATAATATATTTAGTGCGGGAGAGAGTATGACCGTGCAGCGTTTAAAGCGTGGAAGTACTGACCTTACTTTGAGTTTGATTCCATAAAAAGTGACAAAAACATTAGTGTCCGTTGTGCGTGGGAAGAAAAAGTCTTTTTACAGCAAAAATAAACCCCTAAAGCTTCAAGCAAGCACCACATAATGGGAAATTCACAGAGAAACTCGCGGATTCTTCAAATGACCGCTGCGGCACACCTGCACCAGGGCAAACCTCCACCTACTCCACTCCTGCTTTACAGGTGAAAATAGAGCAACAGGACCGCTAGTCTTTGATTTTATTTATTTTCTGCTGTGTTGCACTTGCATCTATTTGAAAGACTGAGTGTAAACACAAAAAAATATATTATTTTAAATATTTTATTTTATGTGCTGAAATGTGCGGAAAATAGGTTTAAATGTTAAACAAATTTCTTCCAGTCAGAGAATGTTGCATGTAATTAAAGTTTTGCTTGATGCATAAAGTTAAAAGATTAAAACTAATAAAAAAAGTTTTAAAAAGAGACTTTTTCACTTGATTACATTTAGTATGATGGATTATGCAGAAAAAGTAGAATTGAGCTGAAAGATCTATCGCTTTATTACCTATTCAGGTTGTAAATCGTGTTTTTAAAAAGTAACTAAGTAACTAAATAATTAATTACTTTTGAAAATAAGTAATCAGTAAAGTAATGGGATTACTTTTGGGGGGGAAGTAATCAGTAATTAGTTACTGATTACTTTTTTCAAGTAACTTGACCAACACTGCTCATAACATCCACATCCCAGGAAATTAAACAAAAAGTAGCATTTAACCTCTTTATCATTCATTGAACTTTCCATACACTTCAGTATGTACTGACATCAACATGCAATATGTTTGATACCCCTCCCTTAAAGCTAATGAATAAGCTGAGGGAACTCCAGGATAACAAGTGATAAAGGGAAAGAAGCAAACAAACAAACGTAAGAATCTTTTTGTCCTTTTTGTGCATTAGCCATTAGCTTCAAAACTGCAGTAGCTTATAAAACATCTCTGAAAATAGTCATTTTGTAAAAACATAATAAATTCTGTAAGCCTCTGCAACAAAGCCCAGATCAGTTTGCTGTATCACTACCTCGTATGACTGAGCCTATAATTTCAAAGTCATATTCACTTGTGAACACCTCTGGGGTTCATGTATTAAATTATTGTGTTTTATTTCACCAAAAGCTCAAGTGATGTGCAGTCCAATGATATGGAGCTGCAGATGTAGAATTTAGATGAAATTGCAACAGATGGATTCAGTAATAATTTCACAAAATTCACAACACCAGTTCTGGAGCGACAAATGAAGTATTTTTTTCTCTCTTCTCTCCGTACTTCCTATCTGTGAGTGTTGCTATTTGTGTGGTCTGTCTTACAATGCTCAGCTCAGTAAAATTTGTGTACTTTCAGATGATTGTTGTCCTGCAATACTCTCCATCTTCATCTGAGAGGCCCATGGAGAGTGGAACAATCAGCGGCTCGTCTTACTGCCAACAGAGCTGGCCTCCTCTCTCATGAGAAAGCAGCCGCAAATCGCAGCTCTGCTTTGAACTCTGTTCCAGTGCAGCAACTCAAATTAGTAAAATGCTTGGTTTCGTGCAAAAAGATCAACCCTTGCTTATCTGGCAGAGTCTCACATACGAGGGAAATGTTTTACTGTGACTGCCTTTGTACTGCCAGCCAGAGCTGGTGAGATATTAACACGGCACTCTAATTCTGTACAGGCTCAGACAGCTGATGCAATCAAGATGTTAAAAGCACGTACAGACTGTAGAAAAACATAGACACAGTGTCTGTAATATCACCCATAAATTCATCAAGGGACTATTTGAAGTCTGGGGTTTAGGTTTATGTTGCTGCTGTTATTGGGATTATGTGAAACCAAAAAACAAGAAGCCTGCATGGATCTCAAGTGAGGCAAACAAGTGACATCGGGAACTAACTGTGTGGTGGGCTGAAGTACCTGTCAATGCCTTTAAATACTATATATTATGTACCAAGTATACACAAACTCCATTATGAATTTTTTTTAAAGTATAAAAAAACTGTAGCAACTTTTAATGAGTTACTAAATGCATTTAAATCAGCTTTCCACAGGCTTCCACACTCAACCCGATATATCACGTGAACTTGTGTGACTTCCACAAGACATTAAATAACAGATACACACCGTTGCATCCTTTGTAATTTAAGGGCTTGATTTGATCTTTTACTTTGCTCGGCGGGGACTGACGAGTTAAATTAACTCCCACAGAGTCTGAAAACTAATTTTCACCTGTACTCTCAGACATTTGGTGCAACACTAACACATACCGCCTCCAACATTAGACCAGATGAAGTGGTAACATGATTAAAAAATATGTCTTCACTTCTTTGGTCTGCTGGGGCAAAGTAGAGATCACTACTAGAAAAACACCACTTGTAATGGACTCCATCTCACTGTTAGTTTACCAATTTATTCCATCCCTGTTTATCTAAAAAAAAAAAAAGTACTAGACTCACATTGAACATTTCAGCGTCTTACTCTTATTTTACTTATTTGCGATTTGTTCCAACAAGAAAGCTGATCTGACAGCTGAACTCCAGAAATAATTGGAATTTGAGAGCACGCCACTGTGCTTTATGAAAATGAAATGTCTGTGACGGCAGAGTTTTGGTTTGGAGCTGCTAGGATGTCAGGTTTTATTCCAAATCTAAATCTATTTTAGCACATTATACTCCAATTTCCATCTTGCGTCTGTAGTGTTCAGGTGGCTTATTGGAGCTGGTTAACAAGAAAATTATTCCACCTGACTGATGTGGCGCTGAGACCAGGTGGTTCATCACAAAATGCCCTGAATGGGGTGGAATTATTTTGGGGACACATTAAGGCAGATTTTTACAT